CACAGAGCATGTTTCTGCAGCTGCCTTGTGCTAATAATTTAATCCTCGTCTAAACCTCCTCCTCCTCCTCCTCGTCAGCTTGTCTTCTTCCAAAGAGTCAAAAGCGCAGATTACCGTCACGGGCCACTACGCCGCTCTCTGATGCAAGCTCACCTACGTGTAGAGGATAAGCGCGTAAATGTGCACGGCTCCTCTCCCTCCAGCTTTGGGAACACCCAGCTCCGAGCCTGGCCGACCAGCTTTCCTCTCGCCTCATTGCCTACCTGGCACGTGTGCTGCACGGAGAGTCTCCAAACTCCAGGCTGCGCTAGTATTTCCTAAGTTGACTGCCTTTGCTGGGACTTCATTAGGAAAGGGCTGCCTTTGTTTTCTGGATACGTAAAGGGGATTCCTTTCCCTAAGCCGAGTTCCGGGCTCACCTGAAACTGGGAAGTAAAGAGGCTTCTTAAATTAATGGCATCACATTGAACATGTACAACAATCATAAAGCGATAAGCCTTTTATAACATTGGAGAGCAGTATCAACTCTTTTTTTTTCTTTTTTTAATCCGATGCTGCTCTTTACAAATGTTTGTTGTGTGCACGGAACAACTGGTTGCATACTGAGCGGCAGCCCGTGGGCTTATTGTAAATAGACGGGTCTGGGGTGGCTGCTCTCGGCCTCGGTTCCTCGGCGCTGGCGGCCTATAGGGGGCGCGGCGGAGGCAGCAGAGCCAGGGAACCGAGCGCAGGGGCCGCGCCATCTGGGTTCGCGAGGACGCGCCTGCAGAGGCGCGCCTGGCTCTACGCTCCACTCCAATACCATCTTCTTCCCGTTTGCAGCTTCCCACTTCCCATCTGTGCCCACCCACGGATTTCTCAAAGAATTAAAAAAAAATTTGGCATGGTTCACGGGAAAAGAATCAGGAATATGTGGGCTCCCTCTTCCTAGGTTCACAGTGCTGGAGACACGTGGCCGCTGCGGCCCGGCCAGCTTCTCACACCCATTCTGTAGCTCTGATCCGGCGTGACCTGCCGAGGCTGTGCATTTTGCCGCGCGGTGGAGATGGGAGTGCTAGTTGTACTTTATAAGTTGCCAGCAAAACGTTTTCTTTTTCTTTTCATCTTTGCCAGTGCTGCCTGCAGACTCCAAAAGGCATCTTCAGAAAGCTGATAATTAAAGCTATGGAATCCGAGCATGAGTAATCATTACCTATTTTGCTTGGGCGCAGTTCTTCAGAGAAAATGATGTCCTCTCCAATAATTATTAAGTTATCGTCTTGTCATATTGACTTCTCCAGGAGCCACAATTTGAGGATAAATGTTAGGTCAACCTTTGGTATTCATTCTCTGATTCCGATAAATCTAGTATTCCAGGGGAAAAAAGCCCAAAACAAAATAAACAACAAACCCCAAATCCTAGGCAGCAGTCATTTCTGAATAGAAGACAACTATATGACTGTTTTAATGATATTTTAAAAAATGAGTACTTAATAAAATGGCCGTTTTAGCGAGTGATAAACACTTTGAAGCAGCCAGAAATTCAGTATCTCACAGCACATTTTGTGGAACGCTGTCTAGATTCTGCCATCTTCCTGGAATGTTCCGCCATTGCTCATAGTAATAGCTTCTTATTGACTGATGAGTATTTGTGTATAGATGGATTACCGCAAATTCAAATTCTCCAAAGACTATAGCCCTAAACAATAGGTACCTGTAGATAAAATGCTTTGTTGACGTGCTTTGGGAAGTTCAGAGATAATTGATGGACAAATAAGTAGGATTTGTATTTGGGTAGACCAAAGGATCTCTATTTTGGCATTTTTCTCAATGAGGAGAGAGATGGGGAAGTAGAAAGAACGAGCTGAGTCAAGAGGCTGTCCTCAGGAGGAAGGCCCGTGATTGTGTCTCCCAAGGCAGTGCCCCTGGCATGGTCCCAGTGGAAATTCCTGGCTTGCTTTGTCAACTTTCCTGAGTCCTGGGCCTCAATATCAGCTCTTAGGAGAAAAGACTACATTACAGCCCCAGGAGGGGGTGGTGTGAATGGGGCTCCTTGATGAATGGATGAAAGGTTTTCAGTAACAAGGGGCATCAGTAGTTTGTGTTTCATCAGCTGAACCAAATCACATGCCCCAAAGGTCTGTGTTTTACTGTCAGTGTCTTTGACACCACCCACTCTTTCTCCACACATACCCATTCTCATCTTGAGGAAGGGACTCTGCTTGGCTATTCTGGAATTTTCTTAACCAGCAATTGTTTTTGTTCTTGATTCATATTTTATCAGGTAAGAACCCCATCTTTTCAAATGTGCCCCCAGGTTACCTCATCTTCACTTAGCAAGTGAAAAATATATTCGAAATTATACGTAAGAAAAATTTTCCCATCTGAAAATTTGAAGCACTAGAAGTTGAATTTTGCAAGTTTGTTTTGGGTAATCAGCAAGCATATTTCCCTTGGTTGGTTCAGCAACAACATTTCTGTCCCGTCATCTAGTTAGGGATGAATGGCATATTGTGGTTTCCAAAACTGAGACTACATATGCTGCACCCAAACTTGCTCAGTTTGGGAAGCTCACAAGTAGGCTTGCCTTTAATTTTTTTCATTCCCCTGAGTTTCTCTTTTGGCCAAAGAGAAATCGCTTCTGTGCCATTCAAAATACTTGAACTTATCTGCAACTCAGAGTAGAGAAGTAGCTAGTGAAGCCCTTCTTGGAAATTCTTTGGCATGTGGGATGAGGTAGGGTGTAAAAGGAATGGGAAGGTCACAAAAAGTCCTGGTGTCTTTTTTTTCTTTTTCTGGAAAAATGATCAAGGTTGATCCACAAAGAGAAACTCAAAAGAAAAAATGCTGACAGAGTTTGTGAAGTGCCTTGAGTTTCTCCAGTAAGCTTGCTAAAGAGCTCTTTGATTAGTCTTCTTTTGATTATCAATCATTAAACCCTGCATAAGACTCAGCTTGTGCCTTCTATATGCAGTATAATGTCATAGATATATAAGGTTCTCTGAAAGACATAGGGGCAGAGGGAGATTGCCTTTGGAGAAGTACATAAAGAAAAACTAATGTAGTAGTAAGAATGTTTTAGAGGCAATCAAGAAATTTGAGAGAAAATACATTGATCTAGATTTCTCTAGAAAGACAGGCATAGCTTAAAATAAAATAATCAAATAAGAACAGCAGAATAGCTAGCTGGCTTCCATGGGCCGGGTGCTCGACTCTGGGGAAACCTCAAGGAACGTAAATTGTAGGGTCTCTGTTTTCCTGAAGCTTCTAGTCTAGCAGGAGAGTTTATCATGTGCAGCTCAAGTAATTGATATGTTAAGAAAACACAACACAACAGAGTCAAAATACAACTTAATTTTGTTCCTGTTGTTCTTGTAAACTTTATTTAGTGGGACCAACGTCCATGACCCCTGGATGAAAACTCTGGCAGGCCCCATGGCTCTTCTGCTCATTCTTAGATAATTCAAAAAGTCTTCTGGTCAACTGGAATCACAGACACAGTTTCATTTCAGCACTTACAGTGTCTGGTTCCATGCAATAATCAAAAACTGACTTTGGTCTAGCTACACCCCCTTCACATGTCCTGCCTGTGTGCCTACAGTGGGGAGGGGAGGCCGAGGAGGATCTGCTGTCTCCCAGCTCCTGCTCCCAGGCCATCTCACCGCAACTGCTATGGTGGTAGGGTGTGTGCTGGGTGCATGCAGGAAGGAGAGGTAGGAACTTCAGCCCTTCTAACCTGGCAGGCTGGTGTTCTATTTTCTGGTCTGGCAGATGGTTTGGGTCAACTCTCTATGATGGACTCTCTGGAGCAGTGAGGCTTTGGAAGCACCCAGTAGCTTCCTTATTCTTGCAGCTCCCTCATTCCTGGTGGGTGCATCTCCCTTCCTTCAGGTGGCCAGTGGACCCTACCTTCCTTAGCCCTGGCTGTCCAATGGATAACCTCCACCCCCTTCTTGCCTGGGTCTCCTCCTACCTCTAAGGATCCCTTTTGCACATGTTGGACAGGATTTCTCTTGCTGACCCAGGACACACAACTGGTCCTGGGAACTCTTATTCCCCTCCGTCCTCCATCCCCACCTGCGGTCAGCAGGTGCAGTCTGTGCTGCATGCACTCATCCACGCTCTCTGGCTCTGCCCCCAGAGCTGTTTGCCAACGCCTCTGCCATCTTAGGCAGATTCTGGGACAGATGCTGCTGCATGGTCTGCTTGTGTTTGTGTGGCTGGCTCCCATCTCCCAGCTGCAGGGGCAAGCCTTGAAGCCCCCATTCCACGGGCCTTGGGGAGGTGGGACAGGAGGCCAGGGAGGTCCCTTCACAACCTCCTCTTTCTAATCTAAGCTCTTTCCATATCCATGATCTGGCTGAGGGATCCAGAGTCGCTAAAGAAGTCCTTGGGCTGTTTCCTCTGCACTCCTTGGCACAGGGGGAGGGTAAGTGTCCTACTGGGATCTGAGTAGGACAGAGAGAGAAAGAGTCTGTCCTAAAATCTGGTTACTCCTCAAACCCAGTGAGCCAGGTGCAGTCACCATAACACAAAGAGAAACTGAATTCCAGGTGGTTTAAATAACCTACCCAACCGCAGCAACCCATTGACGAGCTTGGGCCTCGAACCCAGGCCCACTGAGCAGACTCTGTATTGTCACTGCAGGGGCATCGTGCACGTTCAGGATGAAGGGGCCTTGAGTGGAGAGGGCTGCCTCGTAACAGATATTCGGGGCAAGCAAGTAAAGAAAGTGGGGTGAGAAAGTGAAAGATCCCCGCCCCTCCCCCTTTCTTGACTCCCACCGGCCTGCGCGGCCCACGCGGCGTGGACAACAGACCCTTGTGGGCCACCGCGGAGGCCGTGCCACTCGGTGCCGGCCCCACGGCCATCACCGGACCGCTGGAGATGTGACTGGGCTCGGGACATGAGCCCGCTTGTTCGCTCACTCTCAGTGAAAAGAGTTTTGAAATGAGTTCTGAATAGACAGCATTTTCTTTGTGCAGTTGGTAAATAACACAGAGCAAAGTTAGCAAGTTGCAGCGCCTCTGCGTTCTGATTCTATGGAACCTTTTTGTAGGGAGAAGGGCAGGATGTTTTTAACTGAATGTGACCTCACGGGAATACTAGAGGTAAGGAGGAAAAAAAATGATTGAGGTAACTGTGGGTGTTTTACATCTCAGAAACCATGGCTTTTAATAAAGCCACATGAAGAGAGAAGCTGGCATCATCCCACACAAAAACCAGTGCCTGGCAGAGTTGTGGAAGGTGCTATTCACATTGGTTTGGCATTTATGTAGCTTTGATTGAAAATCAATGGCTTTCTTATGATAATTTTCATATCTTTTTTTATTCCTTAGAAAATAATAAAATTTCTGAATGGGGCAGCGTGGAGAAATCCTAAGAGAAATAGCATAAGAGCATTTTGGAACACATCCAGGAAAAGATAACTTTCGACACACCTGTAGACGTTCGCCAGGTAAAGGTAAGAAAAAATACTGTAAAAAGTACATTTAGGTTATTTTATTACATCGCACTGGGTTGAACTTTGAATGAAAACACATACCACTGACACGAGATGGGCGAGGAGGAGTTAGGAGGGCTCACCTTCTGCCCCTCCCTCTCGTGGGCATGGGCATGGCAGCCGTGTGTCCACCGTGACCATCAGCGACCACCTGAGTGGTTTCTAATGCCGGCTGTGGAGCAGTCAAAGACATGTTCACCAGGTCGAGGGGATCTGACTGAGTATAATACTCGGCAGACAGTTCTGTGAAAAAGTCAATGTATTTAATACTGCAAATATTACTTGTACAGTATGGAATTTCTTTTAGATTTATATTTGCACTGGGACTGACTCATTTTCTATTTAAGATTTTTAAAAACATCACTTTTTCTGTGCTCAGACGAGAAGTACATCTGTTGCTTTCACATAATAAGCATCAAATATGAAGACACGTTGAATGCTTGAACCATTTGTTTGTCGCTATAGGAGACCTGCAACATATGCATGCTATATGTCTGTTTACTGGAACACAGGCACTGAGGAATCAACCTTCATGGTTCTTTCTTTGAGCCATAAGATTTTAAAAAATCTCTAGCTAATTTAGGTCACTGAAAATGAACATTATTTTGGACTTGTGAATGGGTATTTTGAAGGAGGTTCAGAAGGACAAAGATTGCATTGGCCACTACGCAGTACTTGGGATTGTAGATGAGTTTCTTGAGCAAAGCATAATAACCACTTTTATTTGTTGGTATGATATATACACATAACGTTAGCACTATGACAAGATTGTTCTTTCAGTTTGCATAGAAATTAGCTGTTGGTTCTCAGGACTGTGCAGTTTTCTGTCTCGTGACTGTGGGTTAAGGAAAGCACTTGTAACCGGAGGAGAGCAGACAGTGAGGCTCACAGTGCTGTTGCAGTCAGGAAGAGCTTCTGATTTTCTGGCAGTTGGTGAATACATTTATTGCACATAACTTAGAGCCTTGATCTTTCTAACTATTTCAGATAAATTGCTGTCAAATTAGCAGGAATGGTCCCTTCAGATCAACCTAAATAATTTATGCCAAAGTAGTGATTCTCTTGTAAGCCACCTTCATGCGGCCAAGATAAAAATGACATTCCTAGCAACATGGTCCTACATTAAATTATTCATAGTCCCACATTTAATTATTTTGATGTTATTAAAAAATAACATCATTTTTCTTACTGACTTTGTAACCAAACTTTTTAGGTGAGACGGTGTCCTTAATTTGTGACTTTGCAAGTTGTCTGGGAAAACCTGTATTTACAACACGAAATAAAAATAAAAATAAATCCAAACTAAAAAAAAGCTTTACTTTGATTATACCTTTAAACGATTTGAATTAAAGTTCAGTTCTGTACATCACCACATAGGAAATCTAGGCCCTTGAGCAATGTATTGATGAATTGGGGTGGAAATGTAGGAGGATGGAAACGATGGCGGCACAGGTCTCTTTTCCAGAAACCATTTACACAGGCTTACCAGAAGAGGGCAGCGCAGAGCAATGAACTCTCCAAGGAGTTTCCAAACAGATGTCTTGAAACCTAAAGTGAAAATCTCTGCGTGAAGGTAGCCGTTTTTGGACAGCGTCCTCCACCAAAATCATAAATCTCTAAAATAATAATAAAACTCCCCATACATGCTAATCTCGAAATGGGCCCCTTAACATGGAAGGATTGAGTTGCAAGGGACAAAATTTTAATTCCCTGAGGTCATCAGAGATGTTTTCGCTTCGATTTTCCTTTTGATTTGTTTTATTATAAAAGACTATGTGAAGTTTAGTATTAGTCATGTGCACAAATTTTCACTATACAGCTTTTTGGGGTGATTTTTTTGATGAAAGTATTGAAAAACATCACAAATTCAGATTTGTGGAATATTCCCTACGCAACACAGCGTTTGAAGCAAAATGCAGCTTAAGGAAGTTTCCCATTAAATCCGTATTTCCCTGATGCAAAATGATATCACATTGTTTTACTTGTTAATTTTTTTCTTCTCAGAATTACCACAGAAAACATTTTTTGTTTTATAATAAAACACGTGATACTCTACATTGGACATACATTTTACACTTGAAATCTGGAAAGAAAAACCTACTAGACTGGAACAGAATTCCAAAGAACGTGAGGGGACAAATCTCTGGAGACATGTTATATTTTGCTTTAGGGTTACTATAAAACTCGAGTTTCATCGTCTATGCATAAATGTTTAGGGGATCTAAATGTCTTTTCACTAAATTTTATTCTGTAATCTGAAAGTTAGCATTTAAGATGATCGTTCTTATAGGCTAATTAGGTTGATAAAATCCTTTCCTCTTTTCAAAAGTTCACGAGCGCATAACAAATTGGAACTACTTTTACAAGCCAAGTGTCCCTCTTATGCCATTAGCTTTTTTGGATTTACCTTCTAGATGACTTTGACTCATGTTAACTTCAGATATTTGACATATCAAGTATGGTTGTCTTCAAAGGTTTCCCAGGCAACTGCAACAATTCATCTGGTTCTAGTCAAAAGTGCCCTTGAACTCTCAGCTCACTTCCCTTCCCTGTATGAGTAATGTGTGTAGCAAAAGGAAAAACACCAAAGACTTTCATGTAACAGACTAATGTGAATGATTTGGTGAAGAGAGGGATGGATTTCACAAAAGGATCCACTTGGATGTTAAGACCTCAGCTGGCTGCCTGCGTGTTCCCTTTGTCAAGCTCTCGTTTGCATTTGGGGGGAAGGCCACAACCCACATCATGTGTTCTGGGTTCTGTTTAACTCTTCCTCACAGTTCCTAGGGCCCCAAACTCTTATCCCTGGGTGGCCCCAAGGACTCCTTCAAGGCCAGATCGCCGGCCCGCCAGGGAGTGACTGCCCCCAAATCTCTGAGAGATGCCTCAGGACTCCAGCTGATTCACACACACGCTGACCTGTAAGAATCATTCTCTGCTTCTTGTTTCTCACATAACCCACTGGGAAGCAATGGTTAGAGTCTTGTTGTATTTTGCTTAGAGGAAGAGTTTTATAATTACCTCCCAAATAGTTCCTGAAGAATAGAGGAGAGAGTAATTGGAATCTCTGGTCCTGTTGTTTGTGAAAGATTCCTCTGCTTAACATCGATTACATTCTCTGTTGTGTTTAAAAGAAAATATTTCACCTCATCTAGGCAGACAGTGAAGTTAGACCATTACCTTTTTTGCCCTTTATTTTGACTCTTGTCTTCACAGTCGATTGACTAGTGCCTGGAATGATGGCAAATAAGGCAATATAACATGGACAGCCTGCAAATCCCACTCATGGAGCTCTGTAAGTGGGAGCAGATTGCTGTCTGAGTACAGGGCTTCTGCAGACGTCTCCCTATCAACTCCACATTGAACTCAAAGTCTAGAGAGCTTCAGCAATTAATGATGTGTCATCTGGATCCAACCATAAAAGCATGGTGACCACCCCTTCTGCCACCCCTCACCATTCCTTTCTCCTTGGATTTGTTGTATTTCGTTCTGTTCAATATACTTACTGAGAAGTACACATTACATTGAAATATGTCTAAGTAGGCAGATTTTTAAGAATCTACTTTTCTGGGTCTATAACACATTTTAGGAAGGCTATTTCCATTGATATGTGAAAATATATTATAGTTGCTTTAGCTACTAGCCCTTCCAACAGCTACATTTACCCACTGTGATTGTCACTTTGAATAATCCTTGGGTTATTAAAATTAATATAGATAAATATAATTTTATAGTAGGAAATGTAGTTGTCAGGATGTGAAATAATAGTAATCAATTTGAATAAATATTTGCTATTTGTTTTCATAAAAGTTTTAATCCTTAAGAGAGAACTCTGACCAAAATAAGAATGTGGCAGGATCAATGAAACAGGTGGCATGAGTCATCTCACTGGCTTTTAATTAAAAAGGAGGCTGTGGTTGTTGGCGTGGACTGGACTGCGCATAGGCAGTTTTAGAATTTCTTAAGCTGAAATCCAGCTGGAGAGTTCTTAATCAGAATGGACTTATTTTGATAATTTATAATCTGTGTATTCAGAGCATTGATGTTATAGTTTTGATACCTAAATCACCGTTTTAAAAATTCAAAGAGATATATGAATCCCGAGTCTCGGACAGTTATTCCTGAGCCAAAGGATTTCTGTGCAATGCTAATATGTATAATAGAGAATCAGTCTTTCATTGTACAGTTTTGTCATCATGTTTCAATAACTGAATGAATATTCTGAATTAATAAGCATAACGTTTGTATAAGCTAAAGACTAGTCTAAGCTCTGCATTCATTGATGGGAACCTTAAGCAAATGTTTCTTTTCATCAGCTTGTTCAAAAGGCATAAACATAATTACAGTTCTGAGGTGATAACAGATCGACTGGTTAAAATAGTAAGTGGGTCTGGACAAGGTAACTTAAAGTTATGGGCTGCACGTTGTTTTGAGTATTTGGAAGAATCTAGAAAAAATAATTTTTTTTAAAAAAAGATATGTTTACTGTTTATCTTATAGAAAAACAGTCTGAACATTAAACCCCCACTAGAATTTTGGGGGTTTTGTTTTTCTAAAGAGTTGGTTAAAATTCAGATAAGTTGATACTTATAGCTTGAGAGAAAAGATGGGGAAATGGTAGAAATATCAAATGATGTTTTAAATTTCTCAGAATGCTCAGGGGACAGTGAGGGAAAGAGGGGCTTGCTGGCCACGTCCCCACACCTCTGCTTTGCACCTTCTGCTGAGGTTAGTTCCCGAAAACAGTGCTGGGTCTTTGCGCTACATCTGGTTCGGCTTCTTTTCCTCCTTCCTTCTTTATCCGTCACATGGCCTGCCCTCTATCTCTTAAATATCTCTCAGTCTGTTGTGAGACTGAGGAAGGAGTGATGTGAACATGTGCTCCTGGGCCTGGAAACGCCCCTCTGCCCTGGCTCCTTCTGTCTCGGCAGTGCGTGTCATTCATTCTCCCAACAAATACC